CCCAAACCATTCTATGATTCTATGAGGTCCTAGAACAGATTGGTAAAGGGAGTAGCAGCACGTTGTCAGGACCAGGTGGCATCAATGAGATGTGTGACCTGTCACTTCGGTTTGCCTTGCTACCACAGCAGTGGAAACAAGGAACATTTTTGGAGGTTTCTAAAGAGCCTAAGAAGCTACAGATCTGGAAGGGAGACTTCCTTATCAGCACGATGCTACCAGAAAAAGCAGAGGTAATGGGCATTTGAAGGAATATGATGTGATAGCACAAGAGATGCATGGCCTTTAAGAGGAAAATCATGGCTGTGGATTCACTGGAGTTCTCAGAGCAAGTCAATGATTGGGCGAAGGTATACTGGTCGATGCAGTGAACTGCCCTCAGACGACTATCTGACAAGGTCCCATACTAAAGGCTCTCAGAGAAACTGAACTGCAGTTAGATGAAGGGCAGAGATGAATAGTCAGTTTTCATGACAAAGGGAATGAACCAAGACTCATAGCATGTGCTTTGGCATGATCATATTCATAACATATTCTCACAGTCTGAAAAAGATGGGAAATAAGAGTATGGCAGCACTTGCTTATCATATCCAGTGCTTCAGATGGCCAACACCAGCCCTGACTATGGGGAGATACAGAGGGATCTCCTGAGACTTGAGCGCCTGTGTGACAGACATGGGAAGTAATGCACTTGCAGAAAAACAACCCTGATTATACTGGTGCAACAATGGGTTCTAAATTAGTTATAATTAATTATCGCCTCCTCCTGGGCACCTGCTTCAGCTCCTGTCTTGAGGCTGCACTGAAATCTCAGCAAATCCCAATCCCTGTGCAGGGCTGGAGGAAGAAGTGGTGAAGCCTGGGCACGGCAGCAGAGATACCTTTTTTGGAAGGGCTGTTTAAAGCATGACAAAGAGCCCAGGTACTGCTGAGCACTGGTAGACTTCCCCAGATATGTGATGGGGCTCCTTCTGGGGGATGGAGAGGTGGCAGCGGGACTTTGCACCCTAGCAGAGGGATAGCCCATGCCTGCTGGCTGGGGTGAAGTGACAGTCTCCTGTGTGAGGGGGAGGAGGTGAGTGGTCCTCTACACCTTCCTGCAGAAAAGATCCTGATGAGTTGTCCACAGGGAATGAGAGTGTGGCAGGTGCTGAGGTCACTTTGTTTTTCTCTACAGGCCTGATCATCTCCGTGTCTGACTAATTCCATTTCCAGCCTTTGGCTTTAGGTCCTTTGCTGATGGCAAGGCAGGAAGAAGCACTTCTGCTCCAAGAGACTCAGTATCCACTACTGGGAACATATCACTGTCACCCCAGGGTTTTTCCCCTGTCATGGCAGCACCTGGGCAGGTTTGGGATTTCAGGCGTCTGATTTCATGAGACTCCTTTTAATTCCCTTCTGAGCCTTGGCACTTGCAAAATAAATGGCCCTCCCCCTCGCTCCTACCAAGCACTGCATGGCACCTTGAAGTATACAAGACCTGGGGGGCTTCCACTGCAATTTTGTGCTGGTGGAGAGCTTGCCTTATTAGGGTAGCACATAGCTGACTGTTTAATCAGCCTCCTAATGCTGCTGCTTGACAGAAAGAGCTTGGGAAAAAAAGATGGGAAGGACTGAGGTCAGAAAATCCAGGAGGTCAGCAAAGTGACCTGTGAGTATATGGGAGTCAGAGGACCCCTTCATATTTCAGAAAAAGCAGAGATCTGTTTCCAAGTATGTATGGTGACTCACAGACTCTGGGGATGACCTCCTGTCTCTAAGCCCTCTGTGCGTGAACACAAACCTCCAGCTCAGCCCCTAACAGTACTGATGGCTCTACTTTTCTTGAACTCTTTTCTGGTCCTTTGAATGCCTACTGGGAAATGCAGAGGCAGGCACAGCAGATAGCCTGTGTGACTATCCTGCACTGTATTTTTAAGGGTGTGAAAATACAGTACCTCAGAGGTGGTTGCGCCCTTATATTTAACCTTGTGAATTTACACAGGATCAGCCTTTCCCGTTGCTTCCAGTCTGTTGGTAGCTGAATCCCTAAACATCTGTGCAGTAAACCTGATGGCATAAAGCATGAAGCATCCACAGCTCCTGCTGACTTGCTCAAACACTGTAGGTGCTCAGCACATTTGCAGATGAGGCCCAACACAGCCATAACAGCAGTGGCTTCCTCTCTGCACCTGCAGTCAGCAGGAGACTCTTAGTCCATCACAGTTCCTTTGAGGTTGGTTTGAGCTCAAAGCCTGCCTATGGATGTATCTGACAGCAGGAGAGGGACATACCCATTAGTGAGGCTGTTTTGGGGAAGAAGTTGGACAGAATTAGGTTTTGGCTTGAGATGCCTTGGGAAAGATCATTTTCTGTACAGACCTAAATTAAAAGCATGGGCAAACATGGCAAGCTTCCCACTTTCCACTGTCTGCAAGCCTCCCTGCTCTTTGAGGGAAGGCTAACTGGGGAGGAGGAGGAAAGCTGTGTTGTCACAGCCCCATGGTGTTGGGCTCTGATTGTAGCACAGATAGTAGGAGTGGGAAAAGAACAGCCAAAATCTCAAACATGAGTCATCAGATCACCAAAAGGTGGTCATCATCCTAATTTTTACTGAGAGGGATGCCCTAAAGGGGCAAGCCTGCAATGTCAGATACCTTTACCCATTCTCCTGGCTTCCCATGGCCAGGAGCATCCTGTATGCTACGTACCTTCTGTGCTCCTTCACAAATTCAACCAGCTCCTCTTCTGTGTAAGGCTTATCAGGGATGTGAACAGGCTCATCCATAAATGGTTCATAGAAGTCCACCTCGTTCATCTTCAGACCTAACTTCTTGGCAACCTGTTGCAGTGCAGATGGTCAGAGGTGAGTGAGTGCGACATGCCTCTTTGCCTACCCAGAGTTTCTCCTGGCGGCAGACCTGAGGTCAAGGTGCTTGCTGTCTTTCAGAGCACGCCCTCTTAGGGGTGGCCAGCAAAATATGAATAGATCTTTCCTTGGTTAAGAAAAACACTGATGCTCTCTACACTACTGGTCTCAAGTACTGGGGTGGAGCAAGGCCAGAGTCAAGGTCCTGCAAACCTAAAGGGGCTGATTTCCAAACCCAGACCGGGACCTACCTCCACACTGCAGCAATGGCTTTTGACTTGTGACAGGGCCAAATCCAGAAGTGGGCATCAATACCACAAATTATAGAAACACTGAAAATGAGAAGCTGGAGCCAGATATGAAATCTGGGAGCATCCTGAGCTTCTGGAAAACAGGTGGTAGAGGCTGTGAGCTCCCACGGTGAGGTCTGTGGGTGCTTACCCCTTTGTCAAAGGTGGCAAAGAACTTGATGTATGGCTGGAAGTGTTCAGCGGCTTCTTCAAATGCCCTGTAATCTGGAAAGAGAAAAGGGGAATGAAGAAAAGATTTCGCAGGCAGCTGGCCACACTCTGATCCTCGCAGAAGGCACTAGGGAAGAACAAATATAAATTATTGCAAAATGCATCAGATAATGGCACTGTTTTGTCCACCCTTCCAGTGTTTACAAACAAGGACCATTTCACGTGGAGCAAACAGGACACATGTTGTGCAGTCCCACAGTGCTCAGGAAAACTATAGATCCCTGCATGCCACACTTGACTGGGGCTGAAGTCAGCAGCCCTGCAAACCAGGTCCAGGGTTACAACTCCAGCCTGTTGTTAAGGGTGTTTGCAGCTGCCACCTTGCACATGCAGTAGTTCAGCCTGGGAAATACATGGAGTTGCTCCAGCATTAATGATTGCTGCCATTCCCTAAACAGTCACCAAGCATGATTATGCATGCTCCTTCTGCTGCAGGAGGAGGGGTAAGGGATGTTTTCATTGTTACTGGTATCAGGTCCTCAGCTGGGGTCAGGAACGGTGCTCTCAGCCTGGCGGGAGCTCTTTACAACAGGTATTTCCCACCTTTCTTCAAAATACTTATTACTCAATGGGGGCACAGCCGGGCCCAAGCTGCCCTGCAGCCCATTTGGAGCAGGTGAGAAAGCCGAAGGGCGAGGTGGATGGGCTGTTGTGGTGCAGCAGACCTGGTGAAATGTTGCTCGTTTGGGTAAGAATACCTGTCTTTTTGCTAAAGGTAAACCTTGCAAGTGTGGGGTGTGTGCTGCTGGCACCTCCCAGAGAGCAGGGGGAGGACTCGGGGAGCTCAGGCTTGTCAAAGAGAGTCTTGGGTGAGAGTTTCTCAAGACTTGTGAAAGCTTATGGTTTTGCCTGGAATAGTCACTGAGTTGCACATCCCTCAGGGCATGGGACCAGCCTCTTCTCAGTCTTGGGGTTCAGCAAGGAGAAACTGGTCACTGCCTCTGACAGGCTGCCCTAAGGTGTCCTGCTTACTGCTGCTGTATGTTTTGCCAAGTTAGTATTTAGTGTCTGTCCCTCTTTCTCTTTGCCTCCCTCTTTCTTTGACCTTTTGCTTGAAAGAAGGGGAGCTTTGCTCCCTTCAGGTGCTCACCCAGTGTAACTGTAACCTTAGCTAGTTTTGGGTGAGATAGACTTACTTTTCTTCAGGATACCCTGGATAATTTCCCCCTTCTTTTGCAGAAGGGGCATCACTGTTGGTGTAGGAATGAGCTCACGCACAGCAACAGCACAAACTTGCCTGCAACCCCACCTCATCCTCCAGCAGCTTTGGCACTGTCACAGCCTGCCCTATACCCCGCTGCTCTCATTGTTCATGCAGAAGAACCAATGCCCAACCCCCAGCCAGGCTTCAAGCCCCGCGAGGAACATATTCGTCTTACGTTCAGAGTCTTCTCCTTTGAAGTAGCCGATGAGTTTGATTTCCTCATCGATTTGGTCAAAGGCCTGAAGCTCCAGCTTGCTGTTTATGATCTCCACGGGGTCTTCTAGCAGCTGCCATGACAAATGCATGTGATAACGCAACGATTTGCAGCACCAACCTATGCCTGGCAGGGTGTGTCACTAGCAGCCTAAGTGGGGAGAAAGAGGTCACCCAGTTCCTCTGCTGCTGGAAACCCCTTCCTCAGGGAACTGAGAGATACAGGTCACTTTCAGAGGGAGCTGTTAGTAGGTTCACTGCATAAGTTGAAACATAAAGAGGGAAGCTGAGAGAGGTCTGGGTAACCCAAATGGATGCTGAGGGAGCTGCTGTGGTATGAGAAAAGGGGTGGCAATTGCAACTGGCTTTAGAGCAGCTGAGAAAAAGGGAGAGCGGTTGAAAGTGGCTGGTATGGAGACTGTGAGTTTCTGTGAATGATGGATGGATATATTTGTTTTTAACTATGATTTGCTGGAAGAATTTACTGCAAAGAACTTGCTTTCAGAAAACATTAAAACCAGCATGCTAGAGTGTGGCCAAGCCATGTTCTGGAGCAGTAGACAGTCTGGATGTGAATTTTCCTGACTGATCCTCCTATGCAGCATGAGTTAAACCCATGCTTTGGCCCCAGACACATCACAGTGTTGATGAGGAAGTTGGAAGACCTACGTGCTACTTCAGCCTGTCATTAGTCTAAGCTTTGTTTCTGTTTTCTTAACTAGCTAGCCACTGCTGATGAAAAGATTTGTTCTGATTATTTTGCCCAGCAATTCTGGTGTAAATCAGGTGTAGCTTCACTAGAAAAAAAAAAGATGCAGGTAGGCCTCTGTACAGCCTACAGAGGAGTAGAGGACCTCTGGGTTTGTCTTCCTTTGAGAGCAGGCTGCCGAGGCACCAGAGATGTGTTTGTTTTTATTTCCCTGGTTTGCTGGGTATTTTTCCTCTTGAGTGGAAAGCACACAAACATAAATCCTTCCTCTCTTCCTTTGTTTACAGAACATGATTTTTCAGCGGCATACCGCAAAGCACAGCAAACAAAACCTCACAAAGTGCCTTATACCACAGCCCTTGGGAGTGATGCTCCGGTGTGTGGCTGTACCTCTGCTCTGTACAGAGCAGCGTGGGCAGCTCTCTGCTGCCGTAGTGGCCTGAGCCACAGGAACCAGGGATCCCACAGCTGCTGGGGTCACAGCAAAGCCCTACCCTGCCTATGGCCCTCCTGGGTGGGGCAAGATGCCTGCTTCTGTCCCTGAAGCCAGTTATATGTGTTTTGGCTGCAGTATCTGATGCATGCAGCCACAGATGCATTGCCTTAGCTGAGGTCCCGGGGAGCTGTTTCTCTTCCCCAGACGTGCCTTTCTCCACTGTCACTCCTGCACCACAGGTCACCATTTAGGCAACCTGCCACCCTGGGAAACAAATGCTGCCAGCTCTGCTGCTTGCCCCGCGTCCCTTATCCGCATTATTGCATGGCTGCTCATAAAGGGAGCCTCATTTCAAAGGAAAGCCAAGCCACTGCAAAATGTTTTCAGTACCAAGCAAAGACCATGTTTCCGGGCTGTTGGAGTAAAATGTACAGAGAAGTGCAACACAGTGATGAGGGAGTCACCATCTCTCTTGCATTTAGGCACAAGGGTTAGTACATATTTCTGCCTGTGCACAAAATGACCTGAGAGCACTAAATCCTAGGTTCTTCTCTAACTCGTGGCGGTGCCATTTGGTAAGTTCACTGAAAAGCCAGTGGTACACTACCTTGTTTGTGCGGTTCCATCTAGAAATGGGCAAATAGTTTGCAGCATATACCTTTTTCAATGAATTGAGCTGGTTTTAGTTGCTCTATGGGAATGCTAGTTCTTGGATGTTTTTTGTTAATAACCCTTATTTAAAAAAAAAAAAAAAGAGGGAAAGATTTTACAAATGGCAGTGTTTGCATGCCAGCTTGCTAACTGAGCTGGGTGACTAGCAGTTAATTATGAGGGATTGTTGCTTGCTTCCAATCAAATACTCCATAAACAAGAAACAGGGCAAAGTGTCTTTAAGATGTAAATGGTTGGTGGCATTTAAAGGTACCAGCTTTCCTGGGAACTCACAGTCAGACAAGTACTTGGGAAGCTGGCGAAGGTAATCTCTACTAGTGTGTAGCAAACAGGGATGGCATTTCAAATAAAGATAAACCCATGGGTTTTTTAGCAAAGTGAGTATTTGCAAGGCCTTATCTGAGGGGCTTTATCTAGCTCTGAGCTTATCCGTGCTTACATCCAAGAGGAATTCCACCAAGACATCCGTGGCCAGTTCCCCATCAAATTCAATCAACCGCTCCTCCTTAAAGACGTAGAGACTTCCCTCTTCAACCAAGCCTGCAAGAAGGACATAGGAAACATAATGAGGTCAACGTGTCACTAAGAGCATTTTTACTACAGAATATCTTGCTTGTTATTCTAGCAACACCTCCTGGGAAAACACAATAGCGAATTTAGTGAGTTGGTCCAGTTAGAAACAACCCAAGCAATCTCCTGATTTATGTTTCATGGCACAAGGGACAAACCTCAGCCAGAAGTTGTGCTAGCCAGTCAGGTCGCAGTTTGGCCTCAGCTGGAAAAATTCTGCACCAGGAACTTGTTTTAGCTTGGCTGTCTATGTTGCAGTAAATAGTACTGGGCTCTAACTCCCATCCCAAATTTGAACAACATGACACTAGATGGAAAATGGATTTTGATGCGGGCTGTGCTCTCTGCCCGGAGAAGGCTGAACTATGTGAATATCAACAGCAAGCTGGAAGCCAAAGCGAGTTTCAAACTCTCTGTGGCTTAGCTAGCCTTGGCAAAAGCATTAGAAACCTATGGCAGAGATGTCACAGATGGCAGGCTGGCAGATTTGAATGGTATATCACTGGACTGAGGACTGGTTGCCACAGCGTCTCAGTGGAGTCTCCAAAATCAGCATCACTAAGCTCTTGCAATGCATGATGGCAGGGTACCATGGGTCAAGGACGTTGGTAGTTTGTTCCTTCTTGGAGACACAGAAGCTCTCAGCTTTAGTTTAGCTTCCACCAGCACACTTAGCCTCTGATTTAGGAAAGAAAATTACAGTCCACTATGCAGTCCAGTATGCTTAAACAGCTCTGACCTTAAGTCTAGTGGTATATTTATGTGCTGTTGCATTTATGTGCCATAGTATTCCCATATTGTGCTGTGGGCTAAAATATGAAGGAATCACCAGTCCCTGGAAAGCAGCCGTTTCCAAAGGTGGGCAATGCAGCAGCCTTTCACCTTTACAGGAGGTTTCCTCTTCTGCTCTGGGGAGCAAGTCCGGAAGGGTTGACACCTGGCTGCCAAACAATTGCAAGGCTGTGGCTCCCACATTAGTGGCTTGGGGTCACTCTGCCGTGGTGCTGGTCACATTTGGGGGCCTATGTGATGTCCCTGCAGGTTTTGGTTCTGTGCCACTCTGTCAGACCAGACAGGAAGAGCAGGAAGAGCATGGAGTTACTCCATGACTCCTACCTAACAGTTTCTACTGAGCAAGCTGTGAGCTTCCAACCTGTCATTGCTATAGTATGAATTGACTTTCTTTTTTACTTGGTTTGGTTTGGTTTTGGCACTCTCAGCCAGAAAGCTTTTTGCTGGAAAGGTGTTGGCTCACCCCTCTCATCTTCACCCCCTCAACTTGATCCTGCCCTTGTTGAGGTGGACCAGTGGGCAGGGTTCAATTGCCACCATCACCCTCCCCATCCAGGTGACAAGGATTTGGCTGTCCTCTACGGGTCTGGCTGTTGGGCATCACTCCAACATCCTCTCCAAGCTATTTCAGAGATACCAGCTATGGGACTCACCTAGCTTTTTAGCTAGTTTGGCATCCTTCTTGGAGTCCACCATCCCGAAGCCGATGCTCCTGGGCTCCAGGACCTGAGCCGCCAGCTGTGGGAGGAACCAGAGAGCCCAGTGTTAGCAGCATTAACACCACAGGGCAGCTAAAGGGTGTCATGCCCTGCTAGCATGGCATGATGGACACAGGTGACCCATATTCTGCTTTCGGACAGCACCAGTGGGTGGGATGTGTCACATGCTGCTTCCCCACTGAGATAACCCTTCCTGGAGGTCACAAGGGTTTGGTTTCTTCCCACTGTGTCACAGCACTGAGGTTGCTGGTGACACCACGTGCTGCTTGATAACTGCTGTTTGATATTCTAGCATTGGAAGAGGGCTCCTGGCCCAACTGGGGACATCAAAGCAGTGGGCATGTCTGGGAGAAAGACCTGTGCCACTGGCACAAAGCAAACACTATCTCCTCCCTTGTGCCTCTGTGGCCTCCTGTGGGGGAGCACGACATGTGGACACCATGGACATTTTAACTCTGGAAGTGCTTTGTGCCAGGCAGCAGAGGCTGCAAATTGGAGAAGATGCAGGGCACTGCAGCATCATGTTTCCTTCACACATGTGATGGGGTAGGCAAAGCAGACTCAGCAAAATAAAGCAGAGGGATCCTGCCTTTGCAAAAGTGGTTCCTTCTCCTATGAAATGCTTTAAATCATGTCTCCTGTCCAGGCTTCAGTCAGGCCCCCAGTTCCTGGTCCCTCAGTTCCTGGTCCCCTCTTTTTCCTGAAGAAATGAGCCTAATACCAGCCACGGTCGCATTTGCCTCCTCACAGCTTCGGAAACCACTGCTCCCTGTTCCCACCATTTTTGAAGAAGGGGCCTCTTGAAGATATCGAGTTCCTGCCTGTTTTGTGAAAATAGATACGTGAGGAAAGGAGAGACGCTCTGCAAGTGCCCTGCGGTGGGAGCGGTCCCAAGTGAGACCCTGTGAATTCCAGACAGGCTCCGTAGAGATGCAGTGACCCTGGGAAATGAGCCCCCCTACTCACCGGATGACTGACTTAGCCCCACCACAAGCACACCAGAGACCCTACAAGGTGGTAAGGATGCTCTAAGACCCCCAAGCAGCTGTAGGAGCCCCCTCCTCTTCCCTCTCCCTTCCTGCTCCACAAATTCCTCTGATGCTGTCTCCCCTCCCAAAACTGCCGGATGGAAGGGGGGTGACGGCGATGAGGTGTCAGGGGCCTCCAGGACAGGAATGTCCCTATTAGGGCATGGCTCAGCAGTGGGAAGCTGGAGGGAGGCAGAAGGAAAGTGACCAGAGGGATGTCAGGCTGATTTATGAGGAACGCCCTCCCCCAGGACCCATTTTGGCACAACCCCCAGGGCTCAAAGCTGGTTTGAATGTCACCCAGCGACACTGTCCCCATGGCCGTGTGGCCCCTTGGCTCCCCTGCTATAAATAGTCTGCCTGCACCCGGCCACTGTGAGAGCAAGCGGCAATTAAAGGCAATGGGGAGCAAAAGCAGTGGGGCAGCCCCCTCACCAGCACACCGGGGTGTCACGGGGCCAGCCAGCTCCCCACCCTTGCAGCATCCAGCCCTTCCCCAAAATCATTGGGGAGATGGCAGGCACCCTGGCAATCAGGTCTCTGGGACCTTGCTTGGGCAAAGGGGAGTGATAGAGAACGTGGGTGTCTTCTCCTTTCCACCACATAAGTGTCCCCAGGCCTGTCCCAAAGCCCTCCAGAAAGACATATTCTTCACCAACCATTGCAGCATCACAGCACCACTGCAACTTTAATCCCCCTGCGGTGCCTGGCCTATTGTCTTTAGGAGGAAATGCCACCGTGTGAGGCAAAAGGAGTTCTCCGTGGTATGCAGGAAACACGTGGTCTCACTGTTCTTTCCTTACTCTCTGCCAGTGCTTTGGAATAAAGGTGAGGTTGCACGTTCAGGGCTCGGGGTTACAGGGGATACTGCCTGAATGGAGTAGAGCACTGGTCTGTATTTGCACATCCATTGATAAGACATCTGACCACTGGTCTGATGGGTCTGGTATCCCATCTCCTGGCTCAGGCCATGGCCATCCGTGTTAGAGCACCTGAGAGCAGCTGGTACCTGATAATGCAGGGAGAGATGGACACCTCTTGTGAGCTCCCCAGACATCTGCAAGCAGGCAGTAGTGGGAAATGCTGTTTTCTGTTCCCCATTATGGGGATCTGCCTTTACTGGACAAAGGGATGGAGCCTGTGGGATCATTATCTTTAGGGGACATTGTCAGCAAGTTCCTGCACTGGGGCAGTTGTGTAGACCAGCAAGAGGTTCCTCAGAGGCAATGTTTGAGCGTCTGGCTGCCCTGTCACCAGAGGTAAAACACAGAAAGTCCAAGGGAAGAAGACTGTCCAGTCACGTCCAGTCCAGTCCAGTCCATACTTGATCTAGCTACTTAATTACAGCTATGTTAGCCATATGCTAGACAGAGTCAAGGCAGTTTAAGACGAATAGTTCTTGACCCCTGCACACAGGAGATGGTTAGGGTTTCTTGAGGGTGTTTGAAGAAGGTCAGAAATGTGCAGAAAAGCAGCAACACCTGCTACAGGCAAATTGGGCAGGGATGTTTGCGAGAGAGGAGGTGTTGATTGGGAGTAATGTATGTCAGCATGCAGCGTACGCAAGGTAGCTCTTTGGAGGGATGCGGGTGCAGCCATATAGCTGTGGTAATGGGAGCTTGCTGAGAAAGGGCAAATGTGTCTAGAAAATGTGGGTGACAGGATGAAAGCTTCTTTGTGTGAGACTGGGGGAGTGTGTGCTTCATAAGGGCTTGGGAGGAAAGGTCACAGTAAAGCTGGAGGGGTGCCTGCTGGTGCGGCAGGGCTTGTGTGACCATGTCTACAGAGACTGTCTCTAGGAGGTGTGTGTACCGTGGGTACGAGTGTTTGGAGGTGTTCCTCTGAAGAGGCCCATCCCAAGAGACGACACGTGACAGTGCCTGACTTTCATGCTAATGTGATAATGAGTTGGGTGGTACAGCCCGTGCCCACCTGCAGAGCACTGGAGTCCTGCACCAGTGCTCTCTTCATGCAACGTGAGACGCTTTCCACAGTGCCTGGGGACAGGAGACCTTTGAAGGGTGTCAGTACCTATGGTGGCTTTTTCAAGTGCCAGCTATGCAAGGGCTGGACATCACTCCTGCCCGTGCTTTTCTTGCTTTCTACTGCAGCGAGTGAGTCTGACCAGTGCCTAGGCGAGGACATATTCCCACACCTATGCTTGAACCCCACAAGGCAGCAAAATATAGAGTATGCCAGAGGCACAGCAGCTTGGCTAGTTGCCCCCCACTCATTACAGTATCAAGCATTTATATATCCCCTTACAGTATTTTATGATTCCATAATGCTAGTGGGATTTGAATGTAGATAGTGTTTCTAATCTTGACAATCCTCTTGGCTCAGGACCTTGGGATAGAGGCAGCTGTAATGTAAGAACACAGCCCCTCCCCCTCACCCTCCTCCTCCTGCCTTTAAATTCGTATCACTTGAAGTCTTGGCCAGCCAGAGCCCTTGTCTTTGTGTCAGCCCCTATGGTGAGTAATTTAGTTTCAACAGCTGCATGGGGAGGTGGAGGGTAGAAACTGCCCTGGAAGAACTGGAGTCCTTGAGGTATAGCAGGAGTTTTGGGCAGGCAGAGCTGGCTGGTGCATGAGCAAAGACCTCAGTTGCTTGTAATCTCTTATCCCAACACACATTTTGCAGCGTTCCTCTCATGTACTTGCAGCCATTCCAATGCACATTTTCTAGCAGCAGGATCACAGGTTGCGTCCTGTGCGGCCTTGGAAAAGGGAGATGTGAGTTTGGAAGCACTCCTCCTTTCTCCCACTTCCCTCAGGTAATAGCCATAAGCAATACTTGAATTTGGGTAAACATGAGGCAGTGCATGGCCCTCTGGGTATGTGAGAGGTACCAGCCCAAAGTGAACCTTGAGTACCACCGAGTAAGCAAGCACCACTTCATCTTGGATGGTGTCAACAGTTACAGGCAGTCTGAATAGTGCGGATGAAGAAACAATTCCCTGCCAGAACATCTCAAATTCACACACATTCTAGGTTATAGAGCAGCAGAAGTGTCAGCAGCTGACTGACCACGCTCCTATTCCAGGTGCAGACAACACTAATTGTGCCAAACCTTGCATTTGGTGTCAGTTTTGTTGCTAAATGTCAGACAAAATCCATCAGAGAGTGTTACAAATGGGGATGGGAGCAGTGGGTGTCTCAGCATGTTCAGTTTTCATTGTGGAGTGACATTATGGCTCTGTGGCCTGGATTGTCTTCCCACTTCTCTAGCACCTGTCTTGGAGCTCCCACAAGCAGTAAGGTTCATCTTCCTCATCCACTCAGGCTGGGAAGCAGGGCACTGGGGACATTTGGGTCTCTGAGAGCCATCATGAGTAAACTTCTCTTAAGCTTGGGGAGCTTTCTGTTTCCCTAGTTGTCAGCAGTGGAAGAACAAAACTCAAGCAATGCAAGAAGGAGAGCAACAGGAGATGATGAGGGAATGTTCCTCAAGCAATCTACACTTCTCCGCTGTTTCTCTCCTACTCCCTTTAAAGCTGCAGTTTTTCTTGATGGTCACAACCTGGTTGATGTAATAATGATTATTTTATATCCAAAAATGTCAGGTTTTTATTTTCAGTAACATCAGAAGGACATGGCAAAAGTGTAGGGTATTTCTCCAAAAGCTTTGAATCCTTACACAGGACTCATTCCTTCACTCTATGGTTGACTTCTCTGTTGTTTGAGCTGGTGGGCAGCTTGTTGGAGAGCAGAGGGGAATATCTCTCCTTCCTAATGCTGTGTAGTCTCCTCTAGCATCCCCTTGCACACTCCACCAGCAACATTTAGGTTTCTTACATAATTCAGACTGGCAAATTACAGGTCCTGAAGCATCGTGGTGGTCAAAGGGAAGGGGCAGAACCCTGCTGAGCAGCTGCTGCTTGAGGAGCCACCCTGCTGGCAGCCGGACTGGAAGGGAGCACATTGGTCCCACCTTTTCCACCACCTGAGCTGCCCAGAGGGGCCGTTTGTTGCTGAACCTGCCCTCCAAG